CAGGTGAGAGCAGAGCATATGTGAACACAGGGGGAGGGTCCAGACAGGCAGCAAGTGAGAAGCCGGTGAGGAGGAGAGAGCCAGGGGCACAGAAGGCCGGTGGGAGCAGAAGGAAGGAGGATAAACTCTGAGGGGGGCTGCCAGACCCCCGCAGACAGAGGCATGGGAGTGACGGGCCAGGGCGGAGTGGGCAGGGGACAAAGCCAACTACCAGCAGTCGGATGAGAGAAACCGGCAACCGAGGAGCACTGCAGGGGGCTTTCTGTGAGCAGGGAACGCCAGCCCCTGCAGATGCATTTGGTTGGAAAGAAAGCACTAAAGGGTGAAGACATCAACCGACGGCAAGAATAAACACCTACAAATTTAAAAAAAAAAAAAAATTGCCCTCAAGTCAACTCCAACTCTTCCATCCCATGTTGTGTCAGAACAGAAATGTGCTACAGTTTCCAGTGGCTGATTGTTGGGGGAAGTTGATTGCCAGGCCTGTCTTCTGAGATGCCTCTGGGTAGACTTGAACCTGCAACTTTTTGGCAAGCAGCTGAGCTCTTTAACCTGTGCACCATCCAGGGACTTGACCTAGAAGTTAACTTTACACAAATGCAAAAATGGAAAAGGAATACTTCATCTGATTCTTTCTTTTTCAGATGCTCAGGCTTGGAAGGGCCTCAGAAGACAATGATCTCTTCCCCCTTTTCTTCAAGTGGGACCACAAGGTTATTACCTCTAAGAGTTGTGAACTGTTTCCATTTTCTGAGCCATTCACAAGACTTAACAACCTTCTTCTGCAGCCCATTCCAGTACCTCTCATGAGCTAGTACCTGACACTGAATGGGTACTAAGCAATGCTTCCGCAGTAGACACTTTCTTCAATGACCCTCACGTAACTAAGTTTACCCCACATCTCCAATCTTCTGTAAAATGTACTGTGTGATGCCCACAACGGAGGCTTGCTGCCTGGAGGCTACTCTCTGGAGTCTTGTTGTTGTTGTTAGTTGCTGCTGAGTTAACTCATGGTGATCTTATGTACAAGAGAACAAAACACTGCACAGTCCATCAATCATGGTTGCTCCATCTTTATGATTGCTGGTATGTTTAAGTCCACTGTTGTGGCCACTGCACCAACCCATTTCATGGAGGGTTTCCGTTGATTTCGCAGACACTTTTGTTACCAATCATGATGTCCTTTGCTACCTATCAGTCTTTCCTGATGATGTGTCCAAAGTAACTGAGTTGGAGTCTTAGCCTCTTTATTTTTAGAATGGGGATAGTAACAGTACTTACCGTGTAAGTCTGTAGTGAGGACTGACAGAATTAATCCATAAATGAAGCATTTAGAATGGTTCCTGGCACATAGTAGGTGCCACACTATTACTCAGGCTATTACCATTAATCTAGTCACTGTGGGACTTCTGTCCCCACCTCCTGAGTTGTATGCTTAGTAAGAGGATGATGTATCTATTCTCAAACGTGTTAGAGGTTTGGATAGTCGTTGTAATTATATCACTTAATTAAATATTATGTAACCCAATGGAATAAGTTGGTGAACAAAGAGTTATCCTTTCTATCAGTTGAATATTTGGGGTAGACTCAGTAACCTTAATTAATTGCTCAGTAATTAATTCCAACGGTTGTGGCATTAAACCAGTTGTAAAAAGGAAATGGCAGAAGTCTAGATAGATTTAGGGCTCTGATTTTTTTTTTTTTTTTTCATTTTTGCAGCGTTCCCTCCCCTCCCCTCCCACCCCTTGTAACCAACAAAGAAAGTTTCCTTCCATACATAAACCTTTCATTGACTTTTTACAATAATGAACTAATATTTTTCCTTCTGTGATTGACTTATTTCACTCAGCATAATGTCCTCCTAGGAGCGCTGGTAGCATAATGCCTAAGGCACTTGATTGCTAACTAGAAGACTGGTGGTTCAAATCCACCAGCCACTCCTCGGAAGGAAGGCTGGGCAATCTACTTCCGTAGTGACACTGCCTCAGAACCCAAAGAGGGGTCACTATGAGGCAGGTCCGACTCAATGGCACATAACAACAAAGTCCTTCAAGTTCATCCACATTATGCGGTGTTTTGTAGATTCTACATTATTCTCTAGGGTTGCATAGTATTCCATTGTGTGTATGTACCCTAGTTTGGTGATCCACTCTCCTGTCGATGGGCACCTAGGTTGTTTCCATCTTTTTGCTGTTGTAAACAGTGCTGCGATGAACATGGTGTGAATACATACGTGCTTGTCCTGGTTCTCTTTTTTAGGATATATACCGAGTAATGGGATTGCTGGATCAAACATTTTGTTTTGTTTTGTTTTCTAAACATTGTGCTTTGGGTGCAATTTTACAGAACAGAAGTTTATATTCAACAGTTCATGTATAAATG